GTGGCGTGGTCGTCGTTGATCCCTGTGTCGCAGGGTCTCCACCCCCTGCCCACGGGATCGGCAAGTCCCGAAAGGGCAGCAAGGGCCGATGAGTTCCTCAGAAGAACTTTCATTGGAATTGAGCGGTTCAGGTTCTATTGTGGATGGTGTCGTGGCAAAAGGAGCTTTATCGTCAGCTTCAGGCAGCTCCTCTAGCGGGGGCTGGGGTAATCAAAGAGACCAAGCCTAAGCGCACTTTTGCGAGGGAGTTGTCCGCGCGTCGCGCGGGGACGTCCGAGCTTGTGCCAAGGCAACCGGTCTCCATGGAAACGGGTACTTCGGAAGATGCTTTGGTGCTTCCTCAGGGTGAGCCTAGAGTCCTAGGCCCAGGCCCCAGCACAGAGGTACCAATGCATCTAGATCCACCCACCATGGCGTTTTACAGACAAGGCGACCAACACAGCCACACCCATCATCTTGAGCAGCATGACCAACGAAGCGTACAAGTACACCAGCAAATCCTAAACCAGGTGGTGCACCACTCAGCAGATCAAGAAGTTGTGCTAGAAGCCACTAGGCAGGTAGTGGCAGCCAACCAACGGGTTTCCGCAACAGAGGCCCAGGCCCTGCAAGCCGTGGTTCAAGCCAGAGGGGAAGCCGAGGCCATAGTAAATGAAACAAGGTCCCAGGCCCAAGTCCTCTCGGTTCGGTTTGCAGCTGAACTTGAACTTGCACAACAAAGAGAACTGAAACCGAAGGAGCACATTCAGGGTCTTCGCAGGGAATTGGAACGCAGGGATGCAACCAATCAACCCCCAACGAACCCGAACATTCCCAAACTTAGGGAAGAAACACCTGGTCACCAGTCCCCAAATGGCGCGGGAGATTCTGGTGAGTTTGAGGCAATCACAGCTCTTTCGGGGCGAGTAAAGAATCTTGAGGAAGAGTTTCGCTCGTTGCGGGAGATTGTTCAGGACCTTTGGATAAGCCAGGAGTCGTGGAACCAATGGCCCGAAACCAACTCACCCCAACATGGAAACAACACCCCGCAAGCAGCCACAAGCTCCGATCCCAATCCCCCCACCGGCGGCGACCTCAGGGCCCACACAGGCATTTCGGATGGACTCAGGTTCAGAGGAAGAAGGGCCCGGGGCAACAGTTCCAGGGAGAGCTGCCACACCGGCACCAGCCGAGGAGGATGTGGAATCGTCCCACGTCAAGCAAAAGGACTTGCACTACATGAAATTTCCAGCCTTGCCCGAAAGCGCTGGAGCGTTCCGTGCTTGGAGGAATTCCATTGTTCCAATGCTTGCTGCCTTTGATCGTTCACCCGATGGGTCGGTCTCCGAATGGATTCTCAAGGCTCTTAGAGCGAGATCCGAAACGGCCATTTTAGAGTCTAGAGCTTCACAACTCGTCGGATCCATACCCTAGGTTGGACCGAGTCTTGGCCGGCGCGCTCACAAAGCCTGAACACTTGAAGTCGCACTTTGGGTTGAAGTTTCAGTCGTACATTGAAGATTGTGAGTCGTGCGCTCGCCCGTTGCGTGGTCGTCTGCTTCTCAACTTTGTTGCTCGGGAATTCGATGCCGATTCCACCTATGGCACGGTTGTCTCCGAACTCGAGTTGTTGTCGCTACCTGCTCCCGAGGGTTCGATGCAGTCTTTGAAGGCGTGGCGTGACAAGGTGAGGTACACCTTGTCTCAGTTGCCTACCGCCGACCGCCCCTCAGATAAGCTGTTGCCCAAGTGGATTTTCGAGAGGCTTAAGAAGGTCGGTTTGATGAGACGGCGTACGGATAGAGTTCGGGATTCTCCTGAGGGTGCCCCAGAACGTTCGTTTGATTGGCTTTGGTCTAGACTTGAGCGTACCATTTTGGAAGGCCAACAAGACCAGAATCTTCTTTCGATCCAGGAGGCATTGAGGAAAAGACCCAAAAAGGAAACACCAGGGGTCCCAGCCCCCACGGACAAGAACGGGAGACCCAGAGGTGACAAGGACAAACCCGGGACAGGAAAAGGGAAGGACAAAGGCAAAGGGAATGGGACGCCCAACAAGGACAAGGACAAAGACAAGAACAAGGACAAGGCAGGCAAGGACAAGGGGAAAGGAAAGAAAGACGACCCGTTGTTCCAAAAGGCCAAGGAGGAAGGTGTTTGTATCTTTTTCCAGAAGGACAAATGCACCAAGGGGGACAATTGCCCGTTTAGGCATGAGAAGATCACGGTCCCAGGTACCCCGGCCCCTCAGGCAAAAGCCAAGGCGGCAGCCGCAAAGGCAACACCCAAGGCCGCAGCGGTAGCCTTAGTCCTCGCGGCGCTGACGTCGGGAGCCACTGCCTCTTCAGTGGGCTCCAGCTGCACTTTGGATGTTCTCGGGGACACTGGGGCAGGCGAACACCTAGGTTCCAAAGAAGCGTTCTTACGCCAGGGTGTTTCGTCGAGCGTGGTTGACCAGTTCTGTGGTACTTCTTCTAGTCACGTTGCGTTTGAAACAGGTGGCGGGAAGAAACACTCGAATCAATCCATAGGAGTTTGGTCTGAGTCGCTGAAGAACGTCGCAAACATGTTCATGCTGAAGTCGTGCCCTCTTGTGTATTCCATTGGTCAATTTTTTATGAACCAAGGGTATAGCTTCTTCTGGCCAAGTGGTGAACTTCCCTACCTGATTCCCCCTCACGTGGATTACAAAATGGAGGTTGATGTTGAAGAGTGTAGGTTGGCCGATCGGGTGGAACACTGTGTGCCCATCTTCAAAGAAAGAGTCGAGCTTATCTCGGGCATGCCAGCCGGTCCTCTGGTTCCCTTAGTGCCACCCGACTTCATCAAGAAGGCTTCGGAGTCGTCAGGTTGGGAATCATTTGGAGGTAGCCAACTTTGCACCACACACAATCCTGAAAGGTTCCAGGTAGCGGAAGATCACAGCAAAGCCTTGCGAAACACATGGCTTCGTACCACTAAGGACCAGTGGTTTGAGGTAGAAAATCAGGTGAAATGGCAGGAGCTCGAGTGCCAGGATGCGCCACTGCCTGTTGCAGCAGACATCATGGTGACGGAGTTCCACAACGGCCCACCGCCACCCTCAGGGGAGTCAGCGAAACTCGCGGTCCCCTGAGACCCTAAATCCAGGAAGTGCAATATCTGTTTGCAAGCGAAGCTCACAGGGTTTTACCATCGGCGACGCCCCAACCAAAGTGAAAGCCTTCAGGATGCTCGCAACGCCGAGGAACCAGATGGGCCGTG